GGTCCCACAGCCGGGCTGGTGGTGGCGTGGGGACAGGATCTGGCTGGAGGGGAGTGCGGCCCCGATGGTGTCGTGTCCCTCCGAAGCAGCCCTGGGGGATGATGCCACAGGGATACCATGGTCCTCTGCTGGGATGTGCCCTTGGCCCCTGCGTCCTGACGATGCCCAGGGGCTGCGGGCCAGGAGGATAACGTGCCAGGGGGGCAAGAGACCTGGGCGCAGGACTCCTGCGTCCCCCAGCTCCTCCTCTGGGTGACCCCAGCCACACGCCCGCCTTCGATCCCTGCCGAAGGGCACCAAGGCTGCGGGGAGCTCCATGACAGCCACTGCTCCATCAGTCTTTATCTCACCCCGATCAGCCCCCCTGTCTCCTCCACCGGTCCCAAAGTCTGCGCCCACCCTCCCCTGGGAGCACTCGCAGGGGGTGGTCTCTAGCTGAGGGCTCAGCCCTCCCCTCCAAGGCTGGGGGGTCTGAGGGGTCCCATGGTCTGTTGCCGGTGGCCCCCGAGGACTCTGGGCACCTCAGCCACGGTCTTTAGCGCTGGAAGGAGGTTTCTGTGGCTGGGAGGCAGAGGGAGGCAGCGAAGGTTCCCTGTCCCTGCCAGGGCTCAGCCTGTCCCACCGCTGCCGCTCAGACCGGGTGGACAAACTGGTAGACGAGGCGCTGGGAGATGTCGGGTTTCCGGATGATGCCTTTCTTGTAATACTGCCGGATGGAGCGGCTCAGCTTGTCGTAGTTCATGGCCGGGCGGTTCTTCCGGATGCCCCACAGACGGGCCACTTGCGCCGAGTCCTCGATCTTGAAGATGCCTGGGAAGGGATCAGGGCACGGGGGTGGCGGTTACAGCCTTGCCTGTTCACCCAGCAGCCGCCCTGGGGCCACCAGAGCACCCACCCACCTTTCTCCTTGTTGAGCCAGCGGATGAAGCGGCCGTAGTTGTGGGGTTTCAGCAGCAGCTCTTTGAGGAACTGCCAGAGGTGGATGGGTTGGCTGGCGCAGGATGAGTCCACCTCGTTGTCCGCCCAGCTGGCGTCACCTCCTGTCACGGGAAGGGATGGGTGAGGTGGCAGGGAGAGAGACCTCGCTGCTTTGCACCGTCCCGGGGACCTGCATCAGTCCCCATCTGAGAAATCCCAGCTTGATGTCTGGGGGGTCTCCAGGGACTCTGCCCAGGCACTGGGTCTGGCAGCACAGCTTTCTCCTTGTCATCTTGGAGCAGGGAAAACAGCTCAGTCCTTGCCCTTGCACAGCCCCGCAGGGATGCAAGGGGTGCAGGACGGGGCTGGCGAGGGTCTCACGGCCGTTTCCCCTTCGCTGCACCTCGCAGACAGCCCAGGGGCAGAGAAAGTGCAACCACATGGATGCTGCAGCCGCTCCAACACACCAGATAATTGCGATTAAGCAGGGAGCGACCTCTCAAACATCCTGGACCTGTCTGAGGCAGAAGCGAGGCCAGTGGAGCTGAGCCCACACAGAACTCACCACAGTATCTCACATCTCCTGGGGCAGCTTTTTCCTTCATCCAGGCAGCTGGAAGAGAGGAGCGGGCGGTCAGAGGGGCATCTCCTGCCGCACAGCATCGCCCACCCTCCCCAGTTCCCTCCCAGCACTTACCGGACTTCCAGATGTCGAGGTGGGCGTGCAGGATGTCGCCGCAGGCGGGTGAGCGCTGGCAGAACTGCTCCTCGGACATGGCA